AGAGAGAGAGAGAGAAGGACGATTCCGTTGGACGACGACAATTTCCGTGTACACGAGACAGGGTGTACGCAGATCCGATTCGATACGATACGTAAGCTCGCCGATATGCGCGCATGCATAATGCCAAGCATAACCGAGTAGTTTATTTATAACGTCGCGGAAATACACTCGATGCCTTTATTGTAAAAGGTTGTGTAACGCCGTTTGCGGCGTTACGTAACCGCGAGAGAAGCTGCTGCTGCTGCTGCTGCTACTACTACGTTCGGGAAAGAAGGAAGAAGGAGAAGAAAAAAAAAAAAAGAAGCGACAACAATCGCGTATCATCACGTTGGATGGTCGTAGGAGGGGGGAGGGGGAGGGCGGGCGGGTCTCGTGGCGTTTCGTCCTGTGCGATTGGTTGGCATTCGAAGCGAACGATTTACAACGCGATTTACATGAACGCGCGATTTTTGACATGAATCGAGACCGAGATACGTGAAGCGAGTCGTTATTCGACTGTCGATCGTATCCGATCGTCTATTCGAGGAAGAAATCAACGATGGCGATAATCGGTAGAATTAACCGGGTTCTGTGCGCAAAGTTTCGCGATAGATATAGCGGGGTGAGCCGATCGCACGTTCGTCCCGACAGGAAAGGAACGAAACGATTATTCGGATTAATGGCGGGAGCGATCGGAAGCTGTTGCGGGGCGATTCTTTATTTTCTCAATGAATCGACGTCCGTGAATGCGCTCGATTTGGAAATTCAGATACCGAGTTATCCTTGGTCGTTCAACGGTGTATTTAAAGCGTTCGATCACGCGGCACTGAGAAGAGGATGGCAGGTTTATCGAACCGTGTGTCGCACGTGTCACAGTCTGCAATACATTCGTTTTCTCGATTTGATCAACGTAACGCATACCTTGGAAGAGGTTAAACAGATTGCTTCCGAGTTTGAGGTTTCTGTTTCGAACACGTTTTAGAATTATACATAAATAAATAAATAAATAAAAAGAGAAGTGGAGAGACGGAGGATGGACGGGATACGTGACGATCCAGATAATGGAACGATTTCGATTTCCTTTCGATTAGGTGGAGGATGGTCCCGACGAAGAAGGGAATTATTTCATGAGACCGGCAAAATTGTCCGATTACATTCCGTCTCCGTATGCGAACGAGGAAGCGGCGAAAGCGGCCAACTTTGGCGCTTATCCACCGGATTTGACTTACATGATTTTAGCGCAGAGGGATGGAGTGGATTACGTGTTTTCCCTGTTAACGGGATGGATGGAACCGCCGGCAGGGCTAGAGAGCGAGGAGAATCAATACTTTAACGCGTATTTTCCCGGTGGACGTACCACGATGCCGCAAGTATGAAAATACGATTCGTTCTCGCATTCGACGATTCCTTTCGTTTTTTTTTTTTT